TTCAAGCGAGGCGAGGTCCTGATCATGCAGCGTATGGGCTACACCAAGGGTCCATCAGCGCCATCCGCGTCGGAGCTGGCGATCTTTGACAAGCTCTTTGATGGCAACCTGACTGCGTCCAACGCCGAAGCGTTGGACACGCTCTTCCCGGCCGTTGGAAGGGGCTCGTCTAGGCAGCCGCAAACGCAATGCCACCTCTTAGGTCGCACCGTTGCGTCGGTATTGGTTGTTTTCTTTTATGTAATATCGAATCAAGAGGTCTGTTGCTAGGATAGTCTAGCTACGGCTGTGTTAGGTCGACCTCCTTCGGCGCTCGATAGAAGCGTGTTTTATGTTTGTTTACACTCTTGTACTTAATACACTGATACACAGATCTTTTGCGTATTCGAAAAAAAAAACATGGCATAATGAAAATTCACATTTTGCTCCTGAGTATGACTATAGACAAGGAATCACTCTACTCCCTCCAATCGCACAAACTTGACGTCTAGGACAAGATTTGGTTGAATTACATACATTATTAACTATCATTAGATTATTTTTAGCTTGAAAAGATCAAGTTATTTGCTAAGTCCAATATGCAATCATTTTTCACTGGAGATTTTGTTTTAGAATATGTTCTTAATATCTTCCAAATACAAAATATTTATAAGTATTTTGAATACAAATCGATCTATACATATAATTTACACATTTTCTAAATATAAACAATACAATAGTTATTATCATTTGTAGAACTGTAACTTTTAAGGTTCAACCAATCTTTATTCTAAACAAGTTTCTGTGACTAGAGGGAGTATTTAGCAGTGCAAGGGAGGCTAGTCAGATCGGTAAACGGGGCAAAGTGGTACTAACTCTCAGTTCGCTTGCTCGTATACGATCGTAGATTATAAGCTGGAATAATATTTTTCTCTCACATCAAACCAGCCAGCGATAAATAATCCACGATCGTTTACGGCCTGCCGAAAAGGCTGTCGGTCGTTTATGGAGATTTTTATTCCTCCAAAGAACACAGCAGAGTTGGCTTCTAGGTCAACGCAGTGCAAGGCTTTTTATTATGTTATGTTAATAGAAAAGCAAACAAAATGTGATAACTGAGTACAACAACGATGAAACTTCCACCACTTCCAGGCTGCCGGGTATCTTATAGGGTGAGCATCAAATTTACAGAGTAGCTAAGTCCTAATCAGGATTCAGGAACACATCGATTGTGGCGTGCCCCTTCAGCAAGCTTCAAGCAGTTCCGACTCTGCCGCGATTTACGTCATCAGCTGAAGACCCTCCAGGGCCCTGCCGCCGCGCCGCCGCTCCCACAGGCTCGGCGCGTTGTCGTCAGTCGCCGGCCGCCTCACCACCGGCAACGGTGGATCAAACACGCCCACTGCCACGGCCACGGCCACACCGCGACGGACACCACGAGTGCTCCCTGGCACGGATGCCGTGCCAGCACGCGGTACGTCCCTGACCTTGGCGCACGCGCGCGACGACGTCCTTGCGTTCCGCCTCATCCCGAACAACCCGAGCACGAGATTCGCCACCTTGCCGCCGGCGCCGCGGTACCGCGAGTCCCTCGGCGGCGCCGGTCCGCGCGCGCTCGAGCACCCCCTGCTCCTCCTCCTCCCCTTGACCTGCCCCATGCAGGTGATCCTCGGTGACGCCGGCAGGCCGCCGTCGCGCTCGGACTCATCCTTGTTCTTCTTCTTCTCGTCCTGCGCCCTCTGCCACGCCGCCGGCGACAGGAGCAGCGGCGAGTAGGCGGCCGGCAAGGCTTTCTTACCGCCCTCCCTCGGCGCCGGGGGCGGCGTGACGTTGACGAGAAACCACGTCGGCGTCGGTGCCTTGATGTGGTGCTGCTGAACCACCACCGCCATGGCCGGAGATCGATCGACGTACGCCGCGGCCGGCCGCGCGCGCTCTCCCTGTGGTCTGGTCTGGTCTGTGCTGCTGACTGCTGAGCTCTACACGGCTCCGGTCCCCGAGCCCGAGGCGGTTCTTATACGCGCGGAGAGCGGGGGCGGGTATGGTCCATGACTCCGATTCGGTCCACTGGCTCGCGCGCAGCACTATTTTGATTAGAAAACGAATAATAAGGAGAATATAAATGTTAGTACTTAGTACGAGTGGCGAAAATGCGATTACTAGCATCGTTGTTATTCTTTTTCCAGGTCAAGTCCTCGTGGTCGTAGCGAGGCAGCGATCACGACCTGAACCAACGGGGACAACAGCGGCAAGCGTGACTGGGCCGGTGCGAGAGTGCGATTCCTGGTCGCTCTTTCTTTTCGCTAACTTACGTGGAACGGTTAGCGGATCGCTTTGGCGCGGCGCGGACGTTAACTATGCGAGGGCCGTGGACTTCTGCGCACGCGACGTCACTCCTGCATACTTCTGCTGCCGGGGGGTAGCTGCCCTCCCTGGTCTCGCTCTGGTTCAGAGCCGGTTGGCGTTATGTGTTGTAGAGAAACCCATGGTTATCGATGAGTGGACACTGTCTAAGACTGACTCTCGATTGTTTACTTGTGCGAGTGCGATAACAAATTTAACAACCTCATCCTCGTGTCAAAACTGATTAATATAACCCCACTGCACGTCGTCGTGTAATAATAATATGCTGAGTTAGGCACGTATTGTTTATGTTATAGTTTGTTGACTAGACACGGTGTATGAATGAACTGTGAAACATGGCTGACAGTATTCATTCGTAAAACCGTTAGTGTTGCACATAAACGGAAAGACCAAGGATCGGATCATGGGAGGTGTTTGTGAGAGACTGGATAAGGTAGTGCATTGTAAGCTCGTCCTATGAATTTTGGTGAAATGATTTTATCGTTAAAATATTAATTATTGTTTCATGACAGATGAGGTAGCTGTGGATTAACCCATCAATTCCAAGAAACCAAGAAGAATTGAGGAATTAGAACACATACACCGCCGTATTCCTCAAACCCAGTGTGTTCAAAAATTGCTAGACGCTAGACAAGCGATCAAGCTCCTCCTTGCACTACTAAAGATTTTATTTTCACGATATGGTTTTTACTACCGGTTTCTCTAGAAACGGTAGTAATAATAATGTTTCACCGTCAGTTCAAAGACCAGCGGGACAAAAAAACGGTGATAAAAAATATTTTTACCGCCGGGTCATAGTGGCTATCCTCCTTGCACTACTACAGATTATCTTAATTGATTTCTCCTATTGGCCATACGCAAGATAGTACCCTAGTTACTATTGTGGATCTACAATATGCTTACGACATAGTGGCTATCCTCAATGTGCATACCCGATCCAAATGTGAATTAACAAAAATATACACCATCTTTGATAACTACCTTGAAAATATGTCGATACAAATTACAAGCAAAAGCGGCATCTACATGCTCTGAGTTACTAGAGGTCTACATTTTTATGGCAACTGTCTCCAAAGTGTTAGCATAAATATGAGGTTTTGTTTCCCATTTATTTTGCGCACTTTATTACAACTCCACCATATCAGTTTTAATTTACAATAGTGTAAGTTAAACAAAACTATGGTATGGATCTAGTTGGAGCAATGGAGAGAGTTTGATCTCTCGTTTTTAATTGTCACAGTTACCCAACATAGGTAATGCGCATAAAATTAAGCTTACCATCCCATGGATACATAACAATACTCAATGTTCCTCGAGAAGAGATTTTACCACTTACTGATCAAATTCAATATTGAGTTTTGTTTAAATAAAGCACCATATACATCCATATCGTCACCAATATGTGTATATTAAGGGATGCAAATTGATACACTATAAGGTTAGCTTTCAATGCTTGATATAAACAACACAAGGTAATTATTCTGCCTGATGCCATTTATGAACGGCCACAATTTTATCTCTAGGATTTAAGTCCATCTGAAAGTAAATTATACTGTTTATAAAATATCATTCATTCCTTTCTTTCACTTACACGAAAGTTTCACCATCCATGTTCATCGGTAGTTTGGTGGTGCCAACCCAACAACAAAGTAGTGATAGGTTGATGAAGTGACTTGCTTGTTAGAGAGAAAAAAGAGAGCTAGCACTTGCTACTACCCGCTTCGTCCTAAATCATAGATCATTTTAACTTTTCTAGACACATAGCTTTTAATATACACCTAAATATACGCCATGCCTAATACATAGTGAAAACTACATACTCTAAAATATATGTGTAATTCTTGCTTAATTTTCCAAAAGTCAAACAATTTTAAATTTTGGCTTTTTAGAGTATCAAAGAATGGAAAGTTTTACCATCCATGTTCAGGAACTTTGGGATTAAAAGGTTGTTCTTCAAGAGTTATACATAGCACATTATATGTTGAAATTTAAGGTGTAAATACGAAAGATGTCAAAGATATCGGTGCCTGATTAGAGGTGATTATAGTACCACGTAACACACTAAGCAAAATTAGAATATTATAAATGGATTTGGTCAGATGAATAAAATTCACATGTGAACGATGAAACGGACGAATAGAAAAAACAAAAACAACGGAAGCATTTTTATATTAGCGTAGACGCTATCATGTTACCACACTGGTACTACAATTATGCGTGATAGTCTTTTAGTCTGTTTGCAGATTGGTTTTTGAGCTGATAAGCCCGTGCTAATTTATTGTGAGAGGATGATAAGCTCTGGCTGAAAAAAAAAAACGAACATGCTGTTTAACTATTCTTAGTCCGTCGTATTTTTGTTGTTCGATACAGACAGACAGGCACACAGCACACTGATCCTTGCGATAGGTCGATCAATCCAGCCATATCCATCGGATCCCCATCCAACGGCCCAGCGGATCTCGAAACCCACCGCACTAGGCCTCGCCCTTTCGCCCGACATCCCCCGCCGCTCTCGTTCCACCTCACCCATCTCCGATCTGTGATTCCTTCCAGCCGACGCCTCCGCATCCACCTCCCCGGAGCCGCCAGCGGCCAGCCACGCGCCGTACAACCAGCGGCCGCCATCCCCGAGCGGCGAGTTGGGGGGCGCGGCGAAGATGATCAGCAGGCAGCTCGTGCTGACCTACCTCTACCTGCTGATCTACATCTGCCTCTCGTCGGGCGTCATCCTGTTCAACAAAGTAGGGCTCTGCTTCCTTCCAATGCGGGTTTATGCGCGCCCCTATGTTTTCCATTGCGGTAGAGTGGTGGTGAAGCAAGGTAGCACTCGTTGTGTATTGGGTGGTGAAAAGTGATGTCCATTTTGCCCCAAATCCAGCTGATTTGCGAAAGCATTTGTATCCGTATGCAGGCTTAGTGTTTTGCGTGTAGTGTGGTTCATGTGATTCTGATATCACGGGTTCTACTTTGACTGGTCATATTTGTTAGGATTATTAGGTCGGTGAACGGTCCATTGCAACGTTTTGATTTCTATAGGACCTGAAAGCTGTAGCTATCGCTGTAAGGTGAACCGGGTTTTTTTCTACAGCACACTGTCACTATCAGTAATCTGTGGTACAATGTGCCTTTAAGCATATTCCCAATATGACTTGGCGTGATGAAAACACTGAGTCAGAATTTTGCAGGCATTTTGATTTATATGCATCTATTTTTGATTCATCTGGACTTTGATTGTGAACTTAATGCTCTAAATCTTTTTGACTGCAGTGGGTCCTTTCTCCTAAGTACTTCAAATTCCCTTACCCTATCACGCTTACAATGATTCACATGGCATTTTCTGGAATCGTGACATTCTTCCTTGTCCGAGTTTTTAAGGTGGGCTTCTCTGCAACATTTTCCTTTATTCTTATGATGTTCCTGTTCAACCAAGTGACTGTACATTATTATTTCAAGTAACCATTGCTATTGTGAAAGAACATACACAGATAATATTATGATTGCCATCTTTGGTTTAGATTGTTAGGTTCTCTGGTAATGTGATTTACATTCCTGGAGCTGATGGATTTTGTTTTTCTATTATTTGTAATGCAGGTTGTTGCACCTGTCAAGATGACTTTCCATATGTAAGAACATTCACTTATTCTTCCCTTTCTACATGTATAAGTCTGACTCTTAGTCAGTTGCCCCCCCTAATGCAGATATGCCACATGTGTAATTCCAATTAGTGCCTTCTTCGCTTCAAGTCTGTGGTAAGCTAAATTTTTACAATGTGGTCTTGATCTTTCATTTTTTATATGTTGCAAGGACATGTATAAAACTTTCCTGTATCAAAATTCAAAATATGCCTATTCAAGCATGCATGAAATGGTAAAACATCTTATCTAAATTGATTATAAACATGCACAAACAGTATGATACTTGCAGTGCTGCTGGCTGATTTCCTTTGCACTGTTGCTAATGAGTTTGCTTGCAGATCTAATTGAGGTTATTTTTTTTATGGGCATGCCTTTTTGAACCATTTACCTGGTAGCTGGTAGTATGGTATACCAAAGGCTAGAATAATATAACATATATAAATTATTAACGTTATTGTGGGTGAAATTCAGTAGCAGGCTTCTTTATGCTAGCTTACTGTATGGATGCAGTGCTCCATTATTGGGCTAGATGCAGGAGTGCTCCATTATGGACTTTTGCTTGATTTGGTTGCTTTTATTCATAACTTTATCAAAGGCGCGGCATCAGCACAGAAATGCATTGATGTAGCAGTTTGTTGTTCCAGAATTTTATAAAGCACAAACTTCACAACAACGACAAAAATACACGCCTCATTTACTCAAAAAGATTTATTCCTCCATCTGTATGTGACCTAGATGACACCTTGCAGTACCTCAATCCTTGGTCTGCAAATTACCTTTACAATTATAACTTTGTTAGCTTCTGGCATTAGTATTGAACTACACTTTACTAATTTCCCATTAGTATGCCTTGTTGTGCATGTTCTCTGTGCTCCTTTAGAGTTTCTTAAATGAGATGTGGAAAACACATATTTCCCTTATAATTCACACATCGATTTTGCTGGCCCCTTTTCAGGTTTGGCAACACGGCGTACTTGTATATTTCCGTGGCTTTCATTCAGATGCTCAAGGCCTTGAGTGCGTCCACATGCTACCCCCTCTATGTTACTTAACAAAGATCCATCCATGAGCTTATACAATAGATACTGAGTACTGACTCGAGTTTCTTTGAAATGCAGTGCCTGTAGCAACATTTATAATGGCTGTTTTATGTGGTACTGACAAATTAAGATGGGATCTCTTCTTGAACATGGTATTGGTCAGTGTTGGTGTTGTAGTTTCATCTTATGGTGAGATCCACTTTAATGTGATTGGAACGTTATACCAAGTAACTGGTATCTTTGCGGAAGCCCTCAGGCTGGTCCTAACTCAGGTCCTTCTCCAAAAGAAGGGCTTGACCCTGAATCCTATTACAAGCTTGTATTACATAGCCCCTTGCAGGTACTAGAAACTGTATTCTGATATTCTAAAGGCTCTCTTAATTGATATAATTTCTGACAAGGACCGTTTAGTGATATTGCTATATTATGATATTTTTACAGATTATTTTTACAAGAAGAAAATCTGAAAATGCTTCACTGATAAAGCCTTGAAAATGCGTAGTTATTATAATTTCAAGAAGTTAGCTAGGTTTTGTCATTGTGCACGGTATTATTAACCATGTGATTTCTGTATTGCGAAAAATCTATAGTCACAGTTGGGTTCATTGCGCTGATGTCGTAGAGTGAATGAATATTGCTGGTATTTTGTTTAGCGTATATGATTGTGGACAGGTTGTCTTTAATAATATATTGGATGAACCTGTTCCTTGACAAAGGCTTCACTATGAAGTTTTATATGTGCAGTATAGATGATTGCTAGGACTTTCTAGCTACTTTCGTAACCTATATTTGTAATTGGAAACACTTTTGTAGTATAACTGGTTTTCCTATAACAGTGCATATTGTAACTGTACTTTTGTACTCATTGTCTTAATTCTCCCCAAAGTGATCGTAGAAGCATATGTTGTACTCCACTAAGGGTATGCCTCAATTTTGAAACGCCTCAATTGGGATGGAAAAAGAGGTACTTTGGAATGTATATTGATTTCCTTATGGAGCCTTCAGCCTCTTTGATGGTGTAGTTCAATATGTTGTCAATATTAATGAATGAGCCAAAGTCAAGAGGTGCTTTCACTGTCATTCTTTTCTTGAAAAAATAGTTGTCAATGAACATAAGATCCCATTTGCTTGAGGTTTCAAATCACAATGCCAAATTACTGTAGTGTTGAGGTTTTACTAGACTGATCCCCATGTGAATCTTCTTAGAGGTGCTTTGAAAGGACAATTTGGTTTGAATGTATCCGCAATTAAGATATCAGACCTCAGACTTAATATAAGTTATAAATAAAGTACACAGATTATTTTATCTGTTTTATTGTGCTTCTTGGCGTTTTTTCTTTCATTCATTTGATAAGTTATAAATTGGTAGTCAAGTTTATTCTAAGGCTTGTTAGCTGAATTTCTTCTGTGATGGTAGTTTGATATATTATCTCTGTATACTTTCTAGGACACATTCATCAAAACATGGTTAATGATATGATAGTTGTGCTACCGCTGCACTAGTATGCTACACGATCTCGTACTGACTCAATTAAAGCATGGTTTTGCAAGATTGTCTTCATCTTTCAAAATCCAATCACATGCATTATAGATCACAAAGGATTTTGGCTGTCCAAGTTGGGTAAAAACTGAACTAATCATGGCAATTCAGATATCTCAATTTTGTGATAGATTAAATAAGTGATGGCATATTAATGAACTGGGTTACAACTCTAAACGATTGAATGCCTGCACTAAAAGATATCCTTGAATAATTGAATAATATTCCGTCCTTTATCTTTTATGGTAGTAGCATTTCTTTCAGTGCAGGTATTCTAGTTTAGGGTTGTAACACAATTCATTTTAATATTGAGCTAACTATTTCACGTTCTAAAATCTAAGTGTCTTTAATATACCTTTCCGTTTTTTCTGCTTGACGTTTCTTGATTACATTGTTTTTATGCAGTTTCATCTTCCTGTTTATTCCATGGTATTTGCTGGAAAAGCCAGAAATGGACGTGTCTCAAATTCAATTCAACTATTCAATATTTTTCCTGAATGCACTTTCTGCATTCGCATTGAACATATCCATATTCTTAGTTATTGGAAGAACTGGAGCTGTCACCATTCGAGTTGCTGGTGTTCTGAAGGACTGGATACTTATTGCTCTCTCAACTATTATCTTCCCTGAATCCGTTATTACAAGTCTCAACATAATTGGATACGCAGTTGGTAATTATGTAGTTGTTCTTTTGCATCTCTAACAACATGTTGATATTTTATATTATGTATGCCTGTTATTATTCGTTTCCTTAACTAGCATTAATTTTACGTGTAGCGCTCTCTGGTGTTGTCCTGTACAATTATTTGAAGATGAAAGATGTCAAAGCAAACCAGCTTCCAGCAGATAATAATTCTGATAGGGCTACAAAGGTTGGTATAAGTTCCTTGCTGCTATTTTTTTTTTAATGTTTAATACTCCCCTTGTTTGTTGTGCCTATCCGGAGATATGTTACATGTATAAGTGTTTCAAAGAAATAAGTGAGATGAGTGTCGTTCCCAGGGTTTTTAATTTTGGTATTGCAAAAATTTCGGCCACCACCGAAATTACCGAATTTCGCGAAATTTGACCAAAATTTCGGCGAATTTTTTTTTGAGACTAACACATGAAGTATGCTTTTTTCTAAAAAACTTTAGATCTAAACAAATATCAGTATGATTTATAACTGCACATCTATTGAATAGAAGAATATGCAATATAAACAGTAGAAAATATGAATGTAGAGTTATATAGCACATGTATTAGTGTATTACAAAATTTAGGATTTTTCTTTCAGGCACCACCGAAATTACCGAATTTCGCGAAATTCGGCCGAAATTTCGCCGAAATTTTGAACCCTGACTCGTTCCACGTTTCACTTTCATTACCTTTTAGCTGTTCTCGAAACTTTGTTTTCATTGTGGTTAAAACACTGCTGTTATGAAAATTTTATCACCTTGGCCCAGCCATGAGCCCATGAGCATTATGTTGTTGTAAGCACTGGGCATAAAAGGTTTTGAACTAGAGTTGCTTCTTTTCTTCATCTCCCTTCATTTCTTTTAGAGTTCTAGAGACATTGCCCCAGTCCATATGCATTGTAATAGGACATAAAAGGTTCTACATCAGTTTTAAGTCACAGAACTGGAGCAGACCTGCTTATACAATCATTACTAGCTACAGCATTTCTCAACATAACTCGCCTCTGAAATGAAATGCATAGAACCTGATGGTCTCCTAGAAGTTCATGCATTACCTCTCTTATCTCCAGCTTCTTCAGCTTATTTTTAAGCCTACTCTGCTAAAGACCATCTTATATTAAGATACATGATCCCATCAAAAGGAGTATCAATACACATATAGCATGCACTTTTTTGTTTCTTCAACGTAGGTTTCCATAAGTGTAGATTGACCATTTTAAACTTTTGGCATTTGTCTGTCATGAATACTACTTTTTTTAGAAAGGACGGCAAAAGCATTGCTGCGATTTCTATTAGACGAAGAAAAAAAAAGGCAAGTGCCTGCCCAGTTTTTTTGAATGGAAACTGGGCCCAAAAACCATACAACTGAGAAGAGTGCACCACTCACCTACATGACTTTGGTACAACAACTGGACAACTATCAACTCACGCCACTACTCGCTCCAAATTGGTCGAATCGACCGAAATAACAACTCAAATAAGAACTCAACTAACAACTAGCACGACGACCTGCCGGGCGACACCAGACAGCACAGCTTGGGGCGACACCAGACAGCACAGCATGAATACTACTTCTATACCTCTTTAACAAACTATTTAGATTTTCATGTTTAATGCAAGTGGTAAATGATTGCTTTCTAATTCTACGTGCAGGACAAGAAGTCTTTAAGTATATTCAGGCCTGACTATTCCATGGACAACAATGATGGGACTGTAGTAGGAGGCCTGGCATCAGAAGCTGCAGCAGTTGATGAGGAAGCCCCTTTGATTCCTTCTGCACGCCTCTCCTATGTTACACGGACCCAAACAGGCAGCTTCATTAACAGATAACCATGGTTTACCTATTTTGTGGGTTGACCATCACATCTTTTTGTTCCGGTGAATCTGAAAGAGGTGCTGATATACGTGTGGAAAAGAATATATTTTCAGAAGCTCCTGCAAGTTGCACCTCTTCTCATACCATGACACCTGGATGTCTCCTCTTGATGTACCTTTTTCGCTAGGTGTGTATATTTTGGGGAGATACCTAGAGGTGGATTAGAGAAGTTGAAGAGATAGGTTATAACTTTTGCTTAGTATTTGGAGAAACACATCAGGCCATGTGTTGGCTATAGTTATTCCTTAACCAAACCAAGCATATGGAAATGGTGTTCAACCGTAGATGTTGTAAAGCACTCCATAGGCTCTAATTTGAATTGTAGTGTTTCCTGTTTAGTTTGTTCTGTCATTGCTGCCTTCAGTACTGTTAGCAAGTTATGTTTGTCTCCTAGTCTATTGTGCCTGTGCCTTGGACTCTGGATACAGCCATGTGCCAGGCTAGGCACTTGTGCTATTTAGTATGAGTTAATTAGGTTCCTAGATTGTGTTCACACCTTGAACCTTTGAGTTCTCCTGCCTATATATTGTAATCCCTTGTAATCTGTGATTGATTAACATATACTATTCAGAGTTTATCTCTCACATGGTATCACGAGTCCGGGTAACACCCGTTTTCCCTTCCACTTCTCTGGCGTGCCGCTTCTAGCGCCGCCCTCCCGCTTCTTTGCCCTTGCGCCGCCCCTCCCTTCTCCGCCATGGCCGGCTCCCTTCACCCCTCTGCTGCTGACAACGAGGCCGAGTGCAAGCGCCAGGAGGACGCCTTCATACGCCCGTGTGTCGCCGTCGTCGCGCCGCTCTCTCTTCGCGACCAAGAGGCCAAGCCGAGGCCACTTCTAAGGGTTGCGCGTCCGCGCCGCCACAGGCCTGCCCAGAGCGGGCCACCGCCCCTCCCTTGAAGATTCGCTAGAGGACCGCGACGAGGTCACGTCCTCCCTCTTCGATGGCCATCGTACCTCAGTTCAGGCCGCCATAGCTCTTCAGGAGGCTACTGCTGTTCTTAACTTGCACGCCCAAGCTGTGGCCGTCTAGAACATCCGTCATCTTGTCCGCGTCGTTCTCGACATCACCTCCGGCAGCTTCGCTCGGTGGCGCGAGCAATTCCTGCTCGCCCTGGGCAAGTACTCCCTTTAGGGCCATGTTCTTCAGGACGATCGTCCCCTGAACTTGCCAGACTGGGAGCGCATGGACTGCGTCATCCGCTCCTGGCTCTACGGCACCCTCTCCGACAATCTCCACGACATTGTCCGGCATCGCGGCGACCAAGGCGACACTGCCCGTACCACCTGGCTTGCCATTGAGAGCCAATTTCTAAGAACCGGAGGCGCGCTGGCTCTCATTCTTGACGCCAAACTTCGCACGCTTGTCCAGGGGGACCTATCTGTCACCGACTACTGCAAGCTTCTCAAGACCACCGCCGACAACCTCGCTGATCTGGGTGAACCCGTCAGCGACCGCTCCCTCGTCCTCAATCTCATCCGAGGTTTGAACGAGTGGTTTGTCTCCGTTGGCCGCCATCTTCGACGCAGCCATCCCTTCCCTTCCTTCTTGGAGGCCTGCGATGAGCTCACTCTCGAGGAGCTTACCATGGGGGCCCCGACTCTGTCTCCTCCCACGGCTCTCGTCGCCAGCACAGGCAGCGGCTCCTCGTCCCCTCGTCCCGCCTCCCAGCAGATTTCTGGGCATCCCAACACCGAGCCTGGGGGTGGCAAAGGGGGCGGCTTTGGTGGCAAAAACAATCGTCGCGGCGCTCGGGGCCGAGGTGGCAACGGTGGCCATAGGGGCGGCAAAGGCGGCGGCTCAGGCATGTCTGCTCCATCCAACCAGGGGGCGAGTGGGTCTTGGCCCACCCACTACAACCCGTGGCTCATTGTCCCCGGGCCGCGTCCTCTGCTTCGCGGTGCACCCACCCAGCCACCACACCAGCAGGCGTTGCTGGCACAACAGGGAGCCTTCCTGGCTTCGCAGCAGCACCCTCCAGCACCGTTTCAGCAGCAGTACCTGCAGCAGGCCTCTCCTGCTGCCTTCTACGGTCAGCAGGGTGCTCCTGTGCCTTTCTTCGGCACCTCGGCTCCTCCCGGCTTCTACACCTCTCCAACCGGTCTTCCGGCGGCCTTCGATCAGCAATCCCTTGCTTCCACCTTCAGCACCATGACACTACAGCAGCCGCCGAACAACGACTGGTACTTCGACTCAGGTGCCACCTCCCACATGACTTCTGATTCTCGCACTCTTTCACACCCTAACTCTTCACAGTATCCTTCTCCTTCTTCTATCATTGTCGGTAATGGCTCCTTACTTCCTGTCACCGCCACTGGCACCACCACTCCCACCGATTCTCTGTCCCTCAATAATGTTCTTGTTTCACCACGCCTCATTAAAAACCTCATTTTAGTACGCCAGTTCACCACTAACAACAATTGTGCTGTTGAATTTGACCCTGCTGGTTGTTCTGTGAAAGATCTGAGTCTCAAAAGGTGATCATCAGGTGCAATAGCTCCGGGCCCCGCTACCCATTACATCTCCCTGGCGCCACCGCCCTTGCTGCTGATTCTTCACCTGCACTTTGGCATCGTCGGCTTGGCCATCCTAGTCGTGACACGTTGTCCAAAGTCACCTCTGTTATTCCTGGCTGTACTAAAGAACTTGGTTCTATTTGTCATGCGTGTCAGTTAGGGCATCATACACGCCTTCCGTTTCAAACATCATCTTCTCGGGCCTCTAATTTATTTGAGCTCATTCACTGTGATTTATGGACTTCCTCAGTTGTTAGTGTTTCTAGCTTCAAATACTACTTAATTATACTCGATGATTATTCCCACTATGTTTGGGCATTTCCTCTTCGTCTCAAATCTGACACATTTACCACTCTAACTAACTTTCTCGCCTATGTTCGCACTTCAGTATGGCACTGCTGTAAAAGCTATCCAGTGTGACAATGGCCGGGAGTTCGATAACTCTATCTCCCGCTCCTTCTTCCTCACCAACGGCATCCACCTTCGCATGTCTTGTCCATATACTTCATCTCAGAATGGGCGGGCTGAGCGCATGATCCGCATCATCAATAATGTGGTTCACTCTCTTCTTTTTCAAGCTTGCATGCCCCCTTCATACTGGGTTGAAGCATTACACGTCGCCACACATGTTCTCAACATCCTACCCACCAAAACCCCACTCCTCCACACCTCACTCTGTCCTGTTTGGTGTTCAGCCCCAATACGACCATCTTCACGTCTTTGGCTGCGCTTGCTATCCTAACCTTTCCGCCGCAGCCACCCACAAACTTGCACCTCGATCCTCCTTGTGCATCTTTCTTGGCTATTCCTCCAACCATAAAGGATACCGCTGCCTCGACCTTCAAACCAATCGTGTTCTCATCTCTCGACATGTCATGTTTGATGAGAACTCATTCCCCTTTCCCAAAGACCCACCTCCCAATCCAATGGACTTCGATTTTCTAACCGATGATGCTGATCCCATGCCCAAAGGCACCACTATCTTTATTTCCTACAGTACCTCCGTTGGTGTTCTCTCGCACGGCCACATGCAAGACTTCGCCGGCACGCCATCAAGACCTGCATGGACTGTCCTCATGTGGCATTCAATGAGGGTGCAACCGTCGAGACAAAGAATGCCACTCCGGTGCCGGGCAAGGTTCTTTCACCGATATTAGGCGCCCGGCAGTTACTCTCCCTCTACACTGCTGCTGCTGCTGCTGCAGCTCTAGGCGCCTTTGCAGCCCGGCAGAAAGCCGTTCCATCTACTATCTGCTGCTGCTGCTGCAGCTCCAGCGCCGCCTTGCAGCCCTGGCGCCCTAGGTCCCTCCGTTCTTGCAGCAGCCCCGTCGAGCCTCGACCACTGCTGGTGTATTCACGGCGCCAGGCAGTCGCTCCTCCTCCACAACTGGCTGCCTCCAGCCCGTTGGCTCTGCCCAAGGGCGTCGTGTCTGTGCAGCCCACCGTCAACAATCACAGCATGACAACACACGCCAAAGCTAGTCACCAGTTTCCTAGTGTCTACAACAACACAACACTGTCACTGGTGCCCCGCAGCTTCCATAGTGCCCTTACTGATCCCAATTGGAGGGCTGTCATAGAAGAAGAGTTCTCTGCTCTTCTTCAGAACAACACATGGGAGCTTGTTCCTCGACCGTCTCAAGGCAACATTGTCACTGGTAAATGGATTTTCAAGCACAAATTCAGGGCTGACGGGTCCCTAGAGCGCTACAAGGCTCGTTGGGTCCTCCAAGGCTTTACTCAGCGCCCGGGGATCGACTTTGACGAGACAGTCAGTCCTGTTGTCAAGCCCGCCACAGTTCGGACAGTGCTCTCCCTCGCCCTCTCCCGCAGATGGCCAGTTCACCAGCTCGATGTAAAGAATGCCTTTCTACATGGGACCTTGTCTGAAACTATTTTTGCTGCACAGCCTGCTGGTTTTGAGGATCCCACTCATCCTGGATATGTCTGTCGACTCAACAAGTCTCTCTATGGTCTCAAGCAAGCTCCTCGGGCATGGTACAGTCGCTTTGCTACATTTATTCTCACTTGGATTTGTGAATGCCAAGACAGACACCTCCCTATTTATCTACCATCATGGTGCCGACACAAAGATACTTGTTGTCAGACGTGGATGACATCATCCTCACCGCCTCCTCCACAGTGTCCTCCGTCATCATCATATCGCCTCTACAAATGCGTGAGTTCAACATGAAGGACCTTGGCAAGTTACACCATTTTCTTGGAATGCAAGTTCAGCACCGGGATGGATGTCTGCTTTTGTCTCAACAACAATACATGATGGAGATTCTTGACCAGGCTGGTATGACTGAATGCAAACCCTGCTCTACTCTAGTTGACACCAATCCAAAGCTATCTGCAGTAAGTGGTGACCCAGTTCAGGATCCCTCTAATTTTCGCAGCCTAGCTGGTGCTCTTCAGTACCTCACTTTCACTCGT